TACTAATTCATCAATAGAAATACTCCTAAAAAATAAATGTGGGTGTTATACACCCTCCATTTTTTGCCTTTCAAAAAATTTACCATGGGCTGGGGATTTAGCTCAGTGGTGCCTCACCTGCCTCGCAAGCATAAGGTCCTCAATTCGATCCCCGGTATCAGCAAAAAGAAAGATAAAAAATTTACCATGACATCCCTAGGTAGTTCTGGTGAAGGCTTAGAGAAAGAAGGGGAGAGCTGTAGAGGAAGCTTCAGTCTTCTTAGAAGGTCCCTAAGTAATCTGGATCAAAATGGAAATATGGGCGGAAAAGGCCATTCTGATGAGTTCTTAGATGGAAATGAGGAACATGTGCTATGGTTTAGATCTAAAATGTCCCTGAAAAGTCTTGTGTTTTCAGAGATGGGGCTTTTGAAAGGTGAATGGATCATGGGGTGATATATTCAACAGTGGATTAATCCATTGATGAATTCATTGCTGAATGTGCTCTTGGAAGGTGGAGCCTAATAGGAGTAGGTGAGACACTGAGTTCATGACCTAGAAGCCTGTGTTCTTGTCCCCAGCTCCTCCCTTCTTTTTCTCCTTCCTGGCTGCCATGGGCTGAGCAACTTTCTTTCACCGTGCCCTTCTGCCATTCTGTTTCTGACTTGGAGCCAGCAGACCATGGGCTGAACCCTCTGAAACCATGGGGCAAAATAAACCTGCCCTCTTTAAGTTATGGGTGTCAAATATTTTGTCCCAGCTATGGGAAAGTAACTAATACAACATATTTTTGGACAATGGCAAAAGCCCATCCTTGTTATGAAATAATGGTTAGATTTCTCAAAGGTTACAGGATGGACTATAGAGCTATTTGGCTGAGAACCTGAGCCATTTTTCAAGACAAGAGAAGGATGACCCTGAAGGTAGTTCAGAGACCGCCAGGGCTACCTGCTGTGCTCCATGAGTGGGGAACTTTGCTTTGCTTGTAAAGGGACAGGCCACCCCTGCCCAGACCAGTAGAGTGGGGCTGCCCAGGTCCCTGGGGCACAGCCCTGCTAGGTAGAGCTGTGGGCAGGACTGAAGAGCAGGACTGTTGTCCTAGTGCATCCAAAAGACTGCCCCCGTGGGGCTGATGGGCAGAGCACTGAGCCAAGGAGTATTTTTCTTCTTTTGTTTCCTTTCATTTTTCTTTCCTTTCCTTTTCCTTTTCCCTTCTTCCTACCGTTTCTTCTCTCTCCATCTCCGCCCACCCATGTCTGTTTGTCTGTCTATCGTTCTCTTTCTACTAGGTATTGAGCTATATGGTCAGTCCTTTTAGAGAATGTCTAAGTTGCCCAGGCTGGCCTCAAACTTCCAATATTCCTCCCTCAGCCTCTTGAGTAGCTGGGTTTGCTGGTGTGCACCACCATGTATGACTAAAAAGGATTATCCTTGAGCCTTAAGATCTCATGGAATTTGCCTTGTAGCTTGGACCTACCTGGGATCTGCTGCCCCTTCTTTCTTTCCTGTCTCACCTTTTTGAGAGAGGATGTCTGTCCTGGGCCTGTCCCACTATTGTATTTTGGAAGCACAGACCTTGTTTTATTCTATAGATTCCCAACTGAAGGAGACCTTGAGTCTTACCCATGTCTGGTTTAAAGACTGTTTAGATGAGACTTTGGATTTGAGACTTCAGAGTGGATGGGGGAATGAGTTAGGACTTTTGAGGTGATGGGAATGTAATGAATGTATTTTGCAAGTGAGGAGGGATGTGAATTTGAGGGAGGGAGAGGCAGAATGCCATAGACAGAGGGATAACCTTGTCTATCTCCAAACTCTGTATGTTGAAATCTTAACCCTCAATGTGATGGTGTTAAGAGTAGGCCCTTTGGGAAAGAATTAGTTGATGAGGGCAGAGCCCTCCTGAATAGAAGAGGCCCTGGGGCCTGGGACTCAATGGTAGCTCAATGGTAGAGCACTTGCCCAGCATGTGCAGGGCTCTGGGTTCAATCCCCAGTACTGAAAAAAGGAAAATAAAATAGTGCCTGGAGGGTTTCCTTGCCCCTTGCATCATGTGAGGACACAGAAAACAGCTGTCTGTGACCCAGGAAGCAGGAATCACCAGACACTGAACATGCTTCCAGCCTCCAGAACTGTGAGAAGTAAGTTCCTGTTGCTTATTAGCCACCCAGGCTATGGTAGTTTGTTAGAGCAACACAAACTGACTGAGACATGATCAGATCTTGAAAAGACCCCTGTATCTGTAGTCATTTGAGGAAGAGAGGTGGAGGAGATTGGATCCCAGAAGGTTAGCACAAAGCTGGTCCCATGGTACAGGTGAGAGATGGTGCTGGTTGTGGACAATGTGGGGGTGACAGGCGTTTGTGCTCTCAAGACCCTATTGGAGGGTCTTGGGGGCAGGGACGCTCACAACTACTGTTATTGTTGGAAACACCTAGAACAGTGCTCAGGATGGTGATCTGCCCCAAGGTGTGTGACGAGAGAAACGGCCAAGCACCAGGGAGAAGGGCTAAAGACTGAGGGCACAGCCTAGCAAGGAGGGAAACCCACAGGAAGGTGCCAGGGAAGGTAGGGTTGCAACCTACAGAACCCCCTACCCAGCTTGGCATCTGCCCCTGAAAACATGTGAGCCACTTCTTGGTGAGTCTGTGTTGGAGTTGGGGATTAGTGGCTAGGGCTCTTGGTCTCCAGTGAAGTGTTTAGTACTTACTGCAAAGACAGATCTGTGGTTTGAAAGATCACCAAAGCAGCCGGCAGGAGGATGGACTGGTCTGTCTTCCTGAACACGTCTGGTGATAGGTAGCACACAAGCTTGAGAGGCAGCTGGCTGAGCCCAAGCCAGCCTTTGGCTGGCAGACTTGTGTTTACTTTGTGCGTGAGCATCTAAAGATGGCCGGAGAGTGTGCGGAGCAGAGGGAATAAAGTGAGCAGGATGTAGGGTTGATGAACTGGCTGTCAGTAGACAAATGTGGCCCACTATTGCCTTTGTTTGGCAGGTATGGTTAATTTGAATTGCAGTTCTTTAAGGCAAGACACACTTCCCAGTTAATCACAGGCTCCACCATTCCCTAATGTCTTAAAGGACTTGGCTTTATTTACTGATGTTATTAATCTAGCTCTTGAACCTTTACTTGAGGAGTACCTACGATTTAGGATGCCTGGTACTATGAATGCCTAGGGACCCTGGTAGCAGCTACAGGTTGGTCAGGTGACAGTAATAGAGTGGAAACATCTAGCTGCCTGTCAGAGCCCTCCCATTCTTCACATCTCCCACTCCCATTCACAAGGTCTAGAGGCGCTGCTGAGTGGCCAAAGTCCCTTTAATATCCCTGAATTGCGTTACAAGTAATACTGCTGAAGGCAGGGAAGGGATGGGGACTGGGGGTGAGTTGGGGGGAAGAGGAGACAAGGGGAGCGCCAGGCGCTCACACAAAATATGGCCAAAAGGCTTAGCATGCATGGAAAATTATTGCTGTCAGAAGTTCCTATTTACAGGGTCGACACCCTCCAAATTGCTTCCACGACCCCTCTCTCTTACCATCCCTGCAGCCTCCCTTCACAGTGGGCCCAGAGCTGGATGAAACTCTACACAACCCCCTGAAGCCCTAGAGAACCCCTGCTGCAGGGGCTCCTCCATCTCCAGCCTCTCTGGTGGCTAGGGCAGGGTCGGAGGGTTGGAGAGACCGGGACTCCGCCCACCCGGCCCACCGAAGGCTGGGCTCCCAGCGCTGGGGACAGAGGCGTGTGCTTAAAGCAGAGGGACCAGGGCCCGTGCGCGTGGAGGCGTGTGCTTCAGTCCTCGCCCGGGCATGCAAAAGCGCGGAGGAGGAGGTAGTGGCGGCCAATGGGCGGGTGGCTGGCAGCCCCGGCCCCTCTGCCCGGGAGAGTTGCATAGATGTGGCCGGGAGAGAGTGCTGCTCCCGGGGAGGGGGCCAGAGGCCCCAGCGGGGTCCGGGGCTCAATCGGTCCCTGGAACCTGGAATCCCTCGGGAAGAGGAAGAAATAAGAAACAAAGGAGGAGGCTCCCGTCTCCAGACTGCCTGGAGTAGGAGCGGAGGGCTCAGGAGAGTGGGGACCTGCCCCACTACAGGACCTCCCGGCGGCCCCTTCCTGTCCGTTCTCAGGTCCCCTTCTGCACTGAGCGCTGACGAGGGTGGGGCTTCTCCCGAGACCGAGAGGGGAGGGTCAGCTCACTATGGCCATTGCTGCCCCTCTCCTTGCCTGGCTCCCTGACCTCCCAGTCCAGCTGGGGAAGCCAGACTGTCCTTGGGTGAGGCCAGGAGATTAAATAGAATAATAAATAGATAGATAAATAAATAAATAAATACACAAATAAATAACTGGAGGGGCCTAGATGGATAAGGGGGACAGGCCATGGTGAGGTGCTCCAGGCCTCCCCCCTGCAAATAAGGAGGGGTACCTGTAGTCCTGGGGACGGGGAAAAGTGCTCAGAAAATCTGGGGAGGGGGCAGCGCCAGGATGGGAGCCCAGGGAAGGGCTGTACTAGGGTGAGGGGGTTACAGTAGGGTTCAGGGCCCTGAACTGCCCCTCAGGTCTGCTCTAGGTCAGGTAAACTCAGAGGGGTGCTAGAGCGCCGAGGGGCCTGGAGAGAGCAGGGAGAGGAAATAGGTGATGCAGCCCCCAAAATTGAAATGGATGAGAACTGATATGGGGGGGGGGGTTGTGAGTGAATAGCTGGACACCTAAGGCCTGGGCGTGGAGGGAATGGGGACAGACTGGGGACGCTAAGAATCAAGACTCAGCAGAGCAGCCCTAGGGAGGGGCCTGGGGTTGGATAGTGTCCTGCAGGTCTGCATCCAGGTGGGTAGGAAAACTGAGGCAGACAGGGGCTTCGAGGGTAAGTTTGCACCTCAGGCTGGGCGCTAATGGAGGAATGGTCAGAGACTCCGCTGAGAAGTGAGACGAGAAGTCTGAAGGTTAGAAGGGCTGGGTCTGGACAGGACACATTTCTGGCCTAGGGGCCCTGAAGAGAAAGGTGCGGACCTGGTGCCTGAGTTGGGAGCCTTGAAGGCGTGGACTGGGGGGTCAAGGTCCGAGTGGTGGCCGGGAAGGACGATGTGGGTGAGATGTGAGAGGGTGGTTGGGAGGGAGGGGAAGATAGTGCCAGAAGTTATGGGTCTAGCGGCTGGAGAGTACAGTTGGGGCCCAGGAATGGGAGTCCCCATGGGCAGGGAAACGCAGCTGGGGGTTGGAGAGGGCGCTGCGGGGGCAGGCTGGGGCCTCAGCTGGCTGAGCCAGGGTGGGCCGGCGGGGGCGGCTCTGCGCCCTTGACGCAGGCAGCCTCGCAGTGCTTGTGGAGGTAGGACTTGAGCGCGAAGCTCTTGTCGCACTGGCGGCAGCGGTAGTGCTTGAAGGCCGAGTGCGTCTGCATGTGCGCGCGCAGGTTGGAGCGATCCGCGAAGGCCTTGCCGCAGTGCGCACAGCCAAAGGGCTTCTCGCCAGTGTGCGAGCGCATGTGGCCCTGCAGCAGCCAGGGTCGCGAGAAGGCTTTCCCGCACACGCCGCACTTGTGGCGTAGGTTGTGCGTGAGCACGTGCATGGCGAGCGCGGGCATAGACACATAAGCCTTGCCGCACGTCGGGCACTTCCGCGCCAGCTGGCTGTCCAGGCTGCGGTGCGTCTGCTTGTGACGGCTCAGGTTCGACGACGTGGCATACGTCTTGCCGCACTCGGCGCACGCGTGCCGGTGCCCGCTGCCCGTCGGCGCCCCCGCGCGCCCTGAGCGCTCCCCGGCGCCTCCCGCGTCCCCCACGCCCGCCGCGTCCCCGCCGGCCCCGCCCCGCCGCCGCCGGGAGCGCCCGTCCGAGATGAAGAAGGCGTCCATGGAGTAGCTGTCGGTCACCGCCGCCTCCCCGCGGAAGTAGCGTGCCGACAGGCTGGACTGCGGACTCTCGGGGTCGCTGTACTCCTCCGCGGCCGCCGGCGGGTACACGGGCTCAGCGGGCGCCAGTTCCAGGCCGGGCTTCTGGTCTGCATCGTAGCTGCTGGGGGGCAGGCAGTGCGGGACATAACCTGCAGGGGCGAGAATGGTCGATGCTGAGGGGGTGCCGAGGAAGGCTCCCCTTCTCTGGGGAGCCCACATCATGCCCTCCCGGGGTCTGGGAAATGATAGCGTGTAATACAGTGGTCGCAGGGTCGCCTTAGCTTTTGGGTCAGATTGTTGGGACCAAATCGTTCCTGCATGGGTCACGATACAAATAACTACTTCACTCCGTGGAACCCTGGATCTGTACGTTTCTATTGATTTTTTTTTTTTTTTTTTTGAGACGGTGTCTCGTTAGGAACTAGTGTAGCTGGAACTGGGCTCGAACTTGGTGTCCTGCCCAAGGGTCTTGAGTGCTGGATTACAGACCTGCACCACCACACCATTCTGTTGGCTTTATGTTCACTGTCTTAAATGCTCACAACCTCACTGCGAAGGTGTTATTACTGTACCCACTTTGCAGGTAGACGAAGTGAGGCAGGGATGAAATCAGTCTTAAGTTTACAGTAGTGAGTGGAGAAGGTAAGATTCAAACCTTGGTTGTTTGACACCAAAGCCCATCCTCTGTTTTTTCCCCCAAGAATTTTCTGCTTTTCCAGTCCTGTAACTTCTATGGATCTCAGTTTTCTTATCTATGAAATAGAGCTTGTGGGTAGTTGTGGTAGCAGGCACTTGTAGTCCCAGCTACTCCAGAAGCTGAAGTAAGAGGATGGTTTGAATCAGGAATTAGAGACCAGCCTGGGTAACATAGTGAGACCCTGCTCCTCTCCAAAAATAAGCCCAACATTGTAAAAGTGGAGCTTAGACACACCCTTCTAGGATCATTGGAAGGACCAAGCAGATTGATGGTAATAAACACATGTAGTATTATGCTTTTACTGTATGCCAGGCTCTGCCTCGGTACTTTACATGTTAACTCATTTAATCATTACAGGAAGTAGGTACTATTATGGTCCCCATTTTACATGTAAAGAACTTGAGAGAGTGAACCATAATTGCTATATAAATGTTAGCTATTATAATTATGCCTTTTATTTGCTTGAAAAAGTGACTTCACTGAAGATTATTAGATTGTCTGCCTCCCCCTACACTTTGAGCTCCCCAGGGCTGGATCTGTGTGCACAGCCTGAAGTCTGGCTTCCGGTAGGTCTGCAATGAATACATGATGCACAAGTGAATCCAAATCGCAGTTCAGTCAGATCCACCCCAGGGTTGCTGGACTCCAGAGGGATCAAGTGTGTGTTGTGTACTAGCACCCAAGCCTGCTTTGCCCTCCCTGCCCCCCAGTCCTGCTGGCTGGAATTGGAGAAATCTGCCATGTGTTTGAGTGGTGGGTGAGCAGGCTGGGGCTCCCCCCAGGGATTCCGCAGGGGCTTGTGGAGGGCAGGGGCCACCTGGATTTGTCTGCCTCCCATGACCTCACCTGGTCCTAGCATCTTCCCTGGGGACGTTGGGGGCTGGGTTCCCAGGAGAGTTTGTGGCAGACCTTGAGCAAACTTACTATCCTGGCACTTAATTACCAAGTTTTTCCATTGTGTGATTCTGGAGAACAATAGAAGTGAGGCCCCTTTCTTGGGATGCACAGCTGAGGAGCAGCAAATTACATTTGACCCTCTCCACCTGACCCCTGAGTCCTGTAGTGTCATCCCCCCTCCCCATGGAGTAAGCAGGTGGGGGAGGGCTCTGTAAGCCAAAGCATGATTCCAGTGACATTCAGACTTAGGCTGAGCACTTTGGTCAGCTTTGGTTTCTCCAGCACCTGGCTGACTCGGTCTCCGGGCCTGTGCCTCTCATCTGTCATTAGGGATGGTCACTGTCTCCAGCACTGAAGGGCTGTGCCCTTTCTCTTCCTCTGTTCCTTCAGCAGTCAAGTCAGCACAGTGGGGATTGTGGGAATGGGTGAGTCCACAGTGAGGGGCTCTGTGGTCAGAGGCAAAGGAGGACCCTAGTGGTGGCAGTTTGCTAATCTGAGGGGGAGGGCATGCCCAGCCTCTTAGCACCCCATCTCCCCTCCATTTGCCTTTGGTCTGGAGGTACCCTCACCTTCTGTGCCAGGACTAGCCTGGTACTCGTGTCCCGAAAGTTTCTGGCAGTGTTGCTTTGGACTGAGTTAAGTACTTGGTGGGTGCTCCAGGGGCCCCTCTCTTTCCTATATCCCCTCCCATTGTAATTAGTAATCATGATGACAATAGCTACATTTATTGAGCACCTGCTGTGTGCCAGGCTCTGCTAAGTGCTTCACTTCCATCCTCTTCCTTTGTCACCACCAATTTTCTTATTACAGATCAGGAAACAGAGGTACAGAGTGATGAGGGGGCTTGCTCAGGGGGTGAGTGGTGATTAGAGCCCACTACATGTCTCCCCTTGTTTCCTATACCTGGGAGGTCCCTGAGGAAGAGGCTGTGGCTGGACCGCCACCTCCTATCCACAGGACCCCAGCCAGTGGACACTTGGTAAGTACTGTGGGATGGGTCATGGAGATTTGCAGGGCAGCCTTGCTTGCCAGCCAAGGAGGACCGAAATAGCAGTCCTGTCCACCAGCCCTCAGGAGGGTCAGCACCTCATATGGCCTGGGCTGAGGAAAGTGGAGGACAGTTTGGTTCCGACACAGATTCTACCTGGGTGACTGGGCAAATCGTCCATCTTTCTATGCCTTGCATCCTTTTTCTGGAAATGAATCTAGTATGGGATCCATTTGGAGGAGGTGAACAATCATGCAACCAGGGCTTTGCATTTTCTGTCATTAAAGAAAACAACAGAGTGGTTGAGAACACAGCTTCGGTTGGTGCCAGACTGCCTGGGTTGAGTTCTAGCTTCAGCATGTCCAGCTGTGAGACCTTAGACAAACTCTCTGACTTGTCTATGCCTCTAGAGTTTTAGTAAGGAGCCACCAGGAAACAAACAATGAACAGCTAATAACCAGTGCTTCCAGGGCACCAGTGCATCAGGCAGTGTTTGAAGGACTTTGCACACACAGATACATTCTACCCCCAGGACCATACCATTTTACAGACGGGGACACCAAGCCCAAGGAATTTAGGTAACATGCCTCAAGTGGGCAGTAATAAGTCAGAACCAGGATTCCAGCCCAAGCCAGGCACCTTGTAAATCTGTAGTATGTGTTTGCTGCTAGGAGTAGCGATAACAGTCTCCTCAGGTGGGTTTCTCTGCAGCAGTTCTTGGCATCCACCTTGACACTGCTTGCTGCTGCTCTCTGGGCTGTTTCCTCACCCAGGTGTGCACTTCCCTGTGTGTCCAATGGGAAAACTTCATGCATGGCAAGAGCTCAGAAAACCAAGCAGCTCTTGTCCAAATGCATGATCTGCCAGTGGTGCCCTTTGCTGGCACCCGGCAGTCCTGCAGCACTTTACTTCTGTTGCTGGTGGCTCGTTCTATAGCAATAGGGATGTCTCAAACTAGGGCTGCTCATTTGCTTAGGAATGCATGAAGGATTGGTTTCAGGGCAGGCATTGTGGCCCACACCTGATGCCCAGTGGCTGTGGAATTCCAGATAGCTGGAGAGCATTGAATGAAAGTTTGTGTGTTGATGTCAGAAGGAAGCGGCTCTAATTTGCTTTGGGACCTTGCCCAGGTTACTTAATCTCTCTGGGCTCAGTGTGTACAGGAAGAAGGCTGATTGGGAGGTTCAAAGAGTCTTTCTGCATCATGGGTGAATTGGTTCCTTCATGATCTGCCCCCCACCTCCATTCTCATCAGATCCACAGATTTCTCCCTATGTGACCTTGGGCAGGTTACTTGACCCCCACTTGGCACATCTGGATAGGGGAGTTCATAAGAGGTTTGTATGAATTGATGCTCATGAAGTGCTTGGTGCAACCCTGGGCACATAGTAGTTACCCTCACAATTTCTTATTGGCATTGTTATTATTCCTGTATTTTCTAGTGTTATCATAATCTGCCAGCGAGTAGGGGATGCACACAGGTGTCTCATCTTGCTGTGACCTTGACAAACCATCTCACCTCTCTGGGCCTCGACTCAGGGAATTCCTTTGAGACACTATAAACCATGCTGTCACCCTATGTGTGGAACCCCAGATAGGTTTTGGGGGTCTCCAGCTGACACATTGAGACAGATCTCTTTTGTTTGGGTCCCCATAGAGACATGAGGAGCTGGGACGCAGAGGGAAGAGGGCTAGCTTGTACCTGGCCCTTGTCTATAGACCCTAGTTGTTCGACCTGGGCAAGTCCTACCACCTCTCTGGGCTGAAATGCCCCATTTGAGGTATAGGGACCAGGCTTGTCTCTGTCAGGTAGGGCCATGGAGAGGGCAGTGTATACCTGTCACCTGAGAATGACCAACTTTCCCTGTCTAAGAGCCTTGATGGAAGGCTCAGAATCCATTTTTTAAAAATTCTGGTGCCAAAGGAATGGTAGAGAAGGAAATTTATGAGAAATTTAGGTCCTGGGTCTTCTGAGGACTCTGTATCCCCATCTGCCTGACCTCTAGGGTGAGAGTGGGTCCTGTAATGAGCCCTACCATGACTACCAGCCTTCTACCCACACCAGCCCTCTCTGGGAGTCAAGGACACACTGTTCCTGAGGTCCAGAGGAGGAGACGACTTCCCATGATCACAAGAGGGGACTCAGGTCTGAACCTGCCCAGGCCTGTGTCTAACCCCAACCTCTGACATGCCTCTGACAGGGCATGAAGGCCTGCTGGGGGTTGGAAGGGCCCTGCCTGGTAGGAAGGTGTGTAGATTTCTTCAGACACCACCACTCACTTGGCCTATGTCTTATGGGGTTGGAAATGTTGGGGCAGGGAGAAGCTGTTGTCCTAGAAAATTTACCAGCATGCTTTACATTTTTATCAATAAAACTCAACAGTAATGACTGACACTTAATGAGTCCCATCTAAGCACTTGGTACTAGAGCTCAAGTCTAAGGTCATGTCCTCCCATGCCCTTCTGCAGAAGCTGAGGTCCCGGGAGGGGCCGTGACCCTGCTCAGGTCACAGAACAAATTCTTGTTGGAGCCAGGATGGTCTCCTTTTCTAAATGGAGCCAGTCCA